CCCAACCTCAAGCAAACCATACCAAAGTCCGACGAAATCCTCTGAAAGCCATGCATACGTACATGCGTAGCAGCCTAAATATATATATATATATACCCATGTATACAAGTCTGTACCCCTTACAGCCCTTCGAGCGGATCATGACCATGACCAATGGCCGTTCAAGGATACCCTTCCGCGAAGATCCGGAACTAAATGAACTTAAGTTGCAGCTTCTGTTCTGAAAAACAGGCTCCTGCGGCAGGTCCTTCCGCACCCTCTTCACCAACTTAGCACCGGCCAGCGTGGAGAAACTTGATATACCGTTCCGAGTGAGAATGACAGCTTCTGTGCTGTTAGCACATGCAAAGTCTGGCTGCCGCAATGACAGTTCGCATGCGCCCAAAAAACACACAAGCGACGCACGCAAATGCAATCAAAAATGCCTGGATGGAAAACCCTATGAAAAAACACTGTGCTACAGATTCCTCATCTCAAGCGTCAGTGGCTCAAGGGCAGGTTACCTGGGTATAGGCTCTGAGCATCCGCGCGTAGTCGACCGTCTTGAAATAATTCGCAAACCTCAGCTTTCGGTCTTGTACTCGGTTAGGCCGNNGTCCTTTTGTTGATTTAAAGCTTCCTATGGGGACTCTTGAAGACCGCAAAGAGACAGAGAGACGAAGGGAGAGAGAGATAGAGGCGGACGAATTAACAGACTTTTGATTCCAGTCTGGAGATGCCGGTTCACTTTGGCGGCCTTGGCTTGGCTCAGGCGTCTCATTGCCAATTCAGTAGGCATTTGCTGGAAGACGAGACATTTGCGCTGCATGAGTCTAAACAACATTGTCGCTCCGCCCTACCTGCCTGACATGTTCATGTGCGCAATGTTGACTTCACATTAGTGCACAATACCCACATTTACGAAATCCCGTTGCCGGAACACAAGTGTAACTAGACCCGCAGCTGCTACAACATTCTCATTTTGGGAATATGCAAAACTGTTCAATAGGTTTTAATTTGGTGCCAAATTGATTTTCTGCNNCGCCCCCCCCCCCCCTAAAAAAAAGGAGATAGATCAGCCGAGGGTGCACATCAATTAATGCGAACCCAACATTACCCCATACACCTGAGTAGTAAGAATCGTGGAAATGCTTGCAACGTAGGATCTAATTGGAAGATTCCCTGAATAAGGAGACCCCAATANNATATAGACCCCAAAATACTATGACTCTCATTATGGGGGCACACCAAAAATGGCCCCTAATTATGCGAAACCCCCCAATTGTTTACTAATCGTACTTCGCAACCAGATCCGGAGAGTGTCTGTGTTGTGTTCTCACATCTGCCAACGAAGGAAAGGAAGCCCCTGCGCCAAGTCTAAACCCTAGACCCTATATAACCCCATTGTAGTAGTTTCCATGTTCTTTTCCATTATCCCTATATTCCTATATTATATAACCCCTAAATACCCAGTATATGGCACAATTAAACTAAACCAAACGAAACTGCAACATGCGAACTGAAGCTCAAACATGGGGAATTGCCAGAACTCCTTTTTGCTACTGTATTGGTCTGTGATGATCGCTGGGGAGCGGCATGAGAACGCTTCTGGCTCAAATGCCACCCGAAAATGCAACACTGCATGCACGCAGCTGTGACGAAAACTTTCTGAAATGACACATGAAAGCGCTTTCGCTTGTCATGTCATGCTCGCACATACTTGTCATGTCATGCTCGCACATACACAAAGACTTGATCCTGTTCATTGCGGAAAATCCTGAGGTCCTCATCCAAGTACGTGATGAGCGCTCGGAGGCGCGCGTTGTCACCGAGGAAGGACTCAGATGGAAAGACGACTTGGTCAGCCAGTGGCAACGTGTTGTCAACTGCCTGTGTAGTCTCAACTGTGACCATGAGCTCTGCAGGATTGTCCGCTTGCATGTACCTGCATGTAGTTGTCATCATGGTTTTGCCAACGCCCCAAATCTCCACAGCCACCCGGTTGACCATCTGCCCGTTGAAGAGGCTCTGTGTCACTTCGCCAATGCTTTTCAATGGGATGCCATCTGTGAATGCAAAGATGGACTCAGACAGCTCCTCTGTTCCGAAAAGGGCTCTGCTCAGCGGCGAAGGGTCCGGAATGCCCTCCAGCATCTTCCGCCAGCCCCAGAAGAATGGCGAAGACCTTGTAAGGTCCTCAGAAGCAAAGATCAGCTTCCAATTGCCTTCCAGAAGTCTACCAGGCTCCGTTGTAGGGTTCAAGGCCTCCAAAGCCTTGACGAGTTGCAACACATCCTGCCGATCAGCATCGCTTCCACATTGGCCACGGCAGGTGGATGCCGCCGCTGCCAGCAGCCGCAGCCTGACTTCTCGTCTTGCTGCGGCGGTGCCCGCCGCAGCCGCAGCTGCTTGGACCTCTGGTGTCAGCTGTGCATCGACCACCGTTGCAGGAGATGCCTGTCTCTTGGAGGTGGCTCGCAGGACGGGCTGAAAACCCACAAAGGCTTGCCATCCGGCAGTGGCAAGAGCTAGCCACAACACTGGCCGCCAGCGCACCATCGCCTTGGAGACAGTCATGGCGTCCTTCACTGTCACTCTCAGCAAAAATGCCAGCACATGACGAGGAAATGTGCATGACGTGAGTTATCTGCTAAGGGGTGAGTGGGATATGCCTATGAGGGCGCTACAGCGAAGCGAACCACACCTACAGGTCAAGCGTCCCATTAAGCCATTTCCGCAGTAGACTCTCAGTAGACATGAGGTGTTGTGACGGACTGACCCACTCGCACCCTCTTCGTGGCTGGTGGCGCAACCAAGAGCAAGTCTGCTACGCAAGGCCTGTACGTGTCTTTACCGCGAGAGCAGAACGCGATATTGTCGCAAGCTGTGCCGCAATGCAGACCACGGTCAGCAGCCGATTCGCAAAAGAAGCCCCAAAGAAAACCCAGACCACCTGTTCAAAGTACCCACGTCACGACAAAGCTCCAGGAATCCCAAGCGTTTTGCAGTCTATGGCCTGAAAGATCTCCGTTCGGCTTGTGGCTGCCAACTAGACCCTAAACCAAACTGAAACGTGATCGTTCAGCTGCCGGCTTTGCGCGGTCGATGTTAGAGGTCTCCTTGAGGTGCCTCAGCTTCAGGATGTTTTGGCCCTGGGTAGGCATACTTACTAGGAAACACGAGTGCACCCCAATACTGTTGGTTATAATTAATCTTGTTCCAGCATTGCTTTGGGCAAATTGAAACGGATCCCTCTCATACAGAGATATTTGCTTTCCAGAAAACCGTTCACCACCTTCAGGGCGCAGATCAAGGTCTGGCAACCATCAAAGCCCTTGTAAGGTGGCGGCGTGTCCATCAACAGGTTGTGGATCTCGGTAGAGTGCCATTTTGCTGCAAGCTGGCTTATTCCCACATAAGGGTCCCCCATATTCCCCCGAACATAACACAATTTCTCCTAGAAGGATTCTCACTAAGTACTGCAACGGAGGAATAGCCACGTCTCAACATGGGTCGCCCGCTAAAAAACTGGGTCCTTGCAGAAAGCTTCTGCAAGCAAAGCTTTTTACAAATTGGACACAACAATCAAGAGCTGCAATTGTATATGTTCCCCCTCGAAACCCAACAAAATTCATCCCGACACCCAGCATGGCATAGACAGAAGGCCCAAGCCTCCAGAAGGGTCACGAGGTCCCATGCGTCCTCTGTTGTTGCAGATCCCAGGCCCTTTCGAATGCGCTGCATCAGGTTTGTTTGTAAGGCGGTACTGGAACGGATGGCGGAAACCCCGCAAACGTAATCTAAAGTCTCTTGCACCTTCATACTGCGGACCGCGGACCTTAAACGTATCTCCCGCAATTCATTTCCCACCATGAAACCCCTAGCCCCTAATATAGAATGCATTGGCTGGGTTCAGCCTTAGGAAGAGTCACCGAATAAGAGCATAAATGATCGCCCAAGACAAAGTATGTTCACCATCTGGCCCTCAACAACTCCAGAAGAGAAAGACGCGGAATTGCGCAGTACATACATCTGGGGGTGAGGCGTTGTCTTGTACAAGGGGGAGGTGGGGTGTAGGCAATGCTTTCATACCCTGGAGAAAGGCCTGACGCTTTTCCAACTTTGCTACCTACGAAAAATCATGCATAATGGACCTCGGCGAGAATTGATTGGAATCAGCTGAGATGTTGAGTGGTCCAGGTCTGCATGGAACTGCTTTGACAAGTTCTTCTCTCAGCTAACCTCACAGGAATATAAACAAGGCGAACCTCTTACGTAGTTCATACTGCCGAGACCAACTTGGACTGGCCGGCTAGCACCTCGGAGGACAATCTTCATGCTGGGGCACCAACTAGGACAAGAATTGGTCTGGACAATGCACATTAATCTGGGTGGGCGTTTCAATCTACTGCGCCCATGCTACATCCAATTCTGGCATGAAATGGAGTCCCATGTCCTTCATGGCTTCGAGCTCGTACGCCCGATTCAACGCCTGGCACGCTGCAGCTCAACCAAACATCGCAGGCCGTGCACATGTAGGTGCTTCTGAAAAAACGGTTGGTAGATAAGATCCTTGTCGCAGCCCCTGCCAGAATCCTTTAGAGACAGTACTTCTACGGGCTATCCAATTTGGTTCAAAAAGCATCTATGTTCCGAAAGTATAATAGCATATACTTCGGCTTTTACGAACAGTTCGAGCCATGGTGAGGCTTGGCTAAGATGCCAGCATTCTCTGTTGCGCGCATCTATCTGCAGCTCTTTGAACTGCAGTAGCTGTGCAGTACACATTGTGGTACCGGTCTTTTTTTGCAACTGCCGCATCCAGGGGGTGAATCGAGCTGTCCAAGAACGACTGAACTCCAGACAAGCTCTTGTCCAATGGCTGGCCAGCCCGCAGGCATTGTAACAAGTGTCCCACGTGCGGGTGGTTGCAGTACTCTTTCAGGGTCCCAGCGTATTGAGGCAAACGGTCGGCAGGCTTGATATCAGTGTCTATAACTGTCAGGCGCCCCAGCAACCGATCAGCTGAACCTGCCACGTCCGTCGCAAGCTCATATCGTAGGGCGCGAAACTCCTCCAGTCTGTCTCCAGGCTGCATCTTGCGCACGTTCACGATAAGCCTAGGCTGACCGTATGCTCTGGAAAGTAGTTACGAATCCGCGAGAGCTGCCTGTCTACTGTCGCAGGGATTCTGTCAAACATCAGCATTGCTCACGATGGTTCTGTGACAAGCACGACTGACATCCACACTTATCGCCTTTTACTACCCGCGGTACAAAACCAAAGCTAACTTTCCAGTCACCAACAACTGCCATCCCAGAAACGATGCATCTTGCATCGACCGGCCCAGCAGGAAGAGAGCCAGCCCGCTTTCCGGGCGAATGTCCTTGTAGGCCTCATGGACTAGCTTCGTGGCGGCCTCTGCATGTCGCAATGCGTGCGTGGGGGCTCAGAAAATGCGAATATGCTATGCTAGTGATGTTCGCGCTCACGTGCTACTGGCAAGGCAAGAGGATGGGACAGTGAGCACACATCACTTTAGGGGCATTGTGTGGGCCTTCGTGAAGGCAAAACATAGAGCTAAAAGCCTATGCAAACTGGGAGAATTTGAGAGCTGTTTCATGGCGCCTGTCTTTTGCTGACGTTAATGCTTCGTGGTATTATGTATGGGCTGTATAGGGGCTAAAAAAGGTCTGAAGGGGAACAACGTACGAAATGCCACCTCATCATCTAGCGTCTCCTCGAGGCGTGCGAGCAATGCCTGCCCACTTTCTCCAAAGGCCTCTTCAAACACCTGGCGCGTCACCACTTCAACCACACCCCTTCATGAAGGGACTTCCTTGAAGTCATTCTCAAAATGAGGATGTTAAATTCCGGTACCACGCATCAAGCTGCCGTACGTTTCCCGGACCTCCGGGCCCACTTGCTTTGGGCAGCCACCAGCAATGTACAACTCCTGACGTCAAGATTTGCTAGCTTTATATATCATGTGTCGTATTAACATGCAGAGTTTAGAAGTAGCTCCAGCAGTCGAAGCGTGCGGCAGCCGGTAGTTGCAGTAGGTACACAAGATTACACAAGTACCAGCAGCGGATGTGCTTGTTGCAGTTGTACTCCTGCCAACACTCGAGTAGTACTGATGCTGCCACCACTGCTGCTGCTGCTGCTGCTGCTGCTGCTGCCACTGTCTGTTTCTGGGGCCAACATTGTTGCTGCTGAATACTGATATTTTAGGGTGGACAGCGGAGGGGTGGTGAAGGTGGTGTTGCTGCTGCTGGTGCTGATGGCGGCTGTTGGCGAGAGGGCAGTGGCGACAGCAACATTGTCTGCCACCGCTGCCCCGCAAGAATATGCGTGGTAACCCAGAGCATTCCTTGTTCATGACGGCTGTTGCCCAAAGTATGGCATATATATATATATACATAAATATTCGTGCAACTTGAGTTCTAGAAAACTATGGCCACGCTGTGACACAAATTATGCTGATAGCGATGCCTACACATGAGCAAATTGAATTCAAATGTCAGCTTCCATATCCAAACGTGCTTTGCTGGGTAGTAGCTGTGAAGGGAGTTCACGTTCATCAGGCATCACTGTTCCCCTGACGTCCTGGAACCTCCAACGTAGCACAAATTTGCGGTGCGGTTTTTTTTCTGCTCGGGCATGCTCTTTTCCGTTACGAGTAAAATGTTGAGCTCGCTTCCGGAAAACGTGCGCGTGGCAATGTTGCTGCGCCCCATTTCAGCCATGACTGCGGAACGTTTCTCGAGTTTGCGCTCGTTTGCGTTTTTTTGCGCGGATTTGCGCTCGTTTGCGCTTATGTTGCGCTCGTGCACTGCTGCGTAGCGTGCCAACATTTTTGGCGACAAAATCTATTTTTTTCAGGAATCGCACGTTTGGCAAAATTAAGGCCGCCAATTTGCGCTCGAGTTGTTGAAAAACGTATCGAAACCACGGTGGGGCGAAAACTTGTGCTATGTTGGAGGTTGCTGGGTACATGTCAAGAGTACGAGGGCCACTGCACACCCCGAAATGATAGATCTGATCGAGTCCGGAATGATTTCGGGAACCCTGAAACAAAGAGCGATGATTTAGGATTCGAACCTTCCCTCCCTGAACCATCCAAGTCCTCAAGCCGCCCATAACTTTCAGATTTTTCAGGAAGCTAGAGCACACCCTCAGTCATTCCCCCTTACAGTAACAGTTACTTCAAGAGATACGAGTAGGTATAAGTTATAACAGCCCCTTAATGCAGCCCCTCTAAGGACAGTTACTGGCTGGGGGAATGACTCAAAGTACAACCGAAAATCCCAAAGATGAGCGTTAATCTAAACTCCTAGTATCCCCCTTAACAAACCCTATAATATCCTATAAGGGTATCCTCTAAAATCATCTATATAGCCCCCTTTGAGAAGTTTAGACTATAGCTCATATTCTCCCTAAGTTCCATTTCATCTTCCATTGTCTTTTCCACGTGATGTTCCTTTATTGGGAGCCAAATATACCTAAACCTACTCCTTGGCGAGGAACCCCTAAACCCTAAACCCTAAGCCCTAAACCCTATCCTTAAATAAACTTCTGCAGTCCTGGATCGCTTCCTCCACGGCTGCGCCTGCAGCCAGGAGGCCCAAGGCCCTAAGCCTGGCGAAGAGCCCTTGGGCCCGGAGCAGGACCTCAGCTTTCGATGAAACTGCCTTTACGGCTTCAAGACGCAGGCTTTAGGGATTTGAGCCTAAATCTGGATTCAAGTTTTAAGTCAAGTCTAGGAGTCTAGGAGGTCTAGTTCTCGTCCACTCCTCCTCCTCCACCGCAGCAGCAATGAGGAAAGGCTCATAGGATTTCACGGCTGCACCGCATCTATAGACTCTAAGCCACCTAAACTAATCATACCCGACCCAGCCTCCTTCAAATCGCAGAGAGCAGAGTCCGTGACGTCCCAAGCGCTGCCTGAGCCGCATGCTTCAGCCCTCGCTGCATACCTTGAGCACCTTCTGATCTCCTGGATCTGATTTAATTTAGGTCAAGGAGGACATCTGCGATGCGCGTGTAAAGCTTCGCGGCTAGTGAGATCTCGCGTCACAAAGCCACAAGCCACACACCTGCTGAATGCTTGTTTCTTGAACTTGTCGTCTGTGCACTCCATCGCCAGGAAAGATGGCTCTGATACGCCCTCTGCCAAGGAGCTTCCACCCAATACCCGGAAGTTGTTTTGCCGCGGATCCACACTGGCCCTGCCCCATAAGAGTGCAATTGATCTTCGCTACGACTGAGAGGGAAGAATCTGATCCGGACAGTGCCTACAAGCATGCACGGGCCCTTACAAGGATTGGCGTCAGAACATCCTCTTGTACAGTAGAATGGGAAGGCTGGGCTATAACAACTTTCTCCGCGTTTGGATCACCAATCGAGGGATCATGCTGATCAAGGCGTCGCCCGCGGAAACAACGTGAACCAACATCTCATGCAGCCTTACAGTCCGTCAAGCTGAACTTACACCTGCGACACAGCCATGCATCCTGTGCACAGCACCAACACGCGCCAACCCAGCATCAAACCAAGCTAAAGGGACCTCATTGCCATCTTCTAGGGCAGTGATGCTGTCCTACGCAATCGAAGCTAGAACTTCCTCTCTGCGCAGTAATTTCTTCATGTCATCCACTTTCGGATTATTTCTTCCGCGAGCAGCTTCTACGCAATTCAGGGGGCACATTTTGCATATGTGTTGCAAACTCAATTCCAACTGTTTCGCTTCTAACCCGCCCGAACCGAACCCCATACACAATGCTGCCCCCAGCCTCCTCAGGTGAACCAGCTGATCAACTAGCGTCGGACCGTTTCCAGCAAGGATCGCACGGAATAGCGCCACGGGGCTATACCTGGGGTATGATGTGTTGGCTCATGAAATCGAGCTACGGGTCCCAGCTGAGATTCAAGGACCAGGCTGCTACTTTAATGGTTTCTTTTGCAAGCGTTTCAGAAACTATTTGGCCAGTCTGGCTTGCAGAGCCTCTTGAGCATTCTGTCCGACAAATGCTAAGCTCATCTTCAACGTTTTCTTCTTTATTTGTCCATATCAGCAGGCACAACAAGGTAGCTCCTAAACTTCTGGTGGTGCCAGGTATGTTCGGGTCTTCTGCATATCATGTCGTGCTTGCCCACTACCACGGCAATCAATCAAACGCTTGGCGTCGCATTCAAGGCTGGACTTTTTGCAGGTCTTGGAATATCTACCTTGCTTCACAGTCCGATCTGTATGCCGGTGCCTGCCTACAAGCCAAAGACAACAGAAGAACTGCAGGAAGCTGGCAACAAAACCATACCCCGGAAATGACACCCACACTTGTCACGCACAAGCACGAGCCACGCCATGGGTACAACATCCTGACTCCCAGGCTGCAAAAAATGTTGAAATTCTCATTTGCAAGGACTCGCAAAAAGGGCCTGTGACTGTTCAAGATTCCATTTGGGCTTTGGAATGATGTCCTGAAGGATGATCAAGCTGCCGCGAGATGGACCCCTTCTTCTTTGGGTAGTCGATGCACCTTGGCTTGTCTACCGCGGGGCCTCTGCGGATTCAGGGAACAAATTTAATGTCTTTTCATGATCCCTCATCCTTTGCCAGCCTCAAGCAGAGCCCCCAACCCAAACACGCAGCCAGTGAGAATCCTCTAAAAAGGTTGGACACAAAGAGGTTGCAGCAAATCAGACCAAAAATGACCAAAAGCTAAGAGGCTGGAGCAGGGTGAAGCGAGAGATGTCTCTGCCTGGATCGCAGCTGATGTCTGAAAAAACTGTCCCCCAAATTTCTTGCACTGGACTATACCAGCCTAAAAAAGTACATGAGCCATAGTCTAACCTCCTAGTATCTTCTAGCATCCCCCTCAATAGCCCCTACAGTGGTCCCCTATGTAACCCCCATAGAACCCCTTTAAGGAATTATGGCCCTAAACCCTGACCCCTATACCCTAAACCCCCTATAGATACCCCTTTAAAGAGTTTAGACTATGGCTCACATGATTTGTGCCAATGGCCTAGCTGCATTCGGGGAGCCCACAGTCCGCCACCCCGAGCCTTGCATCAGTGAGGTTTAGGGAGGGTTTAGGGATTAGGGTTTAGGCTTTTAGACACGCGCATCGCACTGCAAGCACGGCAAACACTGTCCAACAAATCTAGGCAGGCAAAAAAAAGGGGAACTGGCCAGAAACTCAAGCACAAATCTCCGTCCCAATCCTGCGCTGTTGCTTGCTTCAGCCCTTCTCGCCTCTCTTTTTGCGGGGAACTGGCTAAGCAGCACCTGAAAGTGCGGGTTTCTGACCAGGCTGAATTGATGCGGTAAGCGCTTGTTCCCGGAGCCAGTCGTGTGCCGTCTTCAGACTTCTGCAAATCTTCCTTCTGCAGTAATCTCTTCCTCGGAGATCAATCATCCAAAAGCATTGTGTCAGCCAGTGAGCAACCTGGTATGGCTTTTCCACATCGAGCTGCGCAACAATGGCCTCAGCCTCAGCAAGCTCGGAAGGCGCCGCTGTCATGGCGGCTGAGGGCAGCGGCGGAGGCATCCAAACCGAACTAAGCTCGGTTATGCTCTGCAGCTCTTGCGCCATCCAACGCAAGTCCTCGTTCATGCCAAGCCCCTTGAGCTCCTCGAACTCCTGGACGATGTATGCTAGCTGGTTGGCTATCTCTGGGCACAGCCGTGCATACGCCATACCCTTCTCCAACAACATCCTCGTCGGTTCACTGCCATGGTTGCCACAGGTCAGCATGCCTATGTTGAAGCAATAGTTGATTGCATCTTCGAGGCCGCAAATCTGTCTCTTTTCTTCCAGCTTTCGCCACACGTAGAAGATGTCGACCAAAGTCTCTACAACGCTCATGGCACGAGGCATGCGGAAGTTGAGATAACCAAGCCACTCCAGCTCGGTGTCGTGCTCTGCAACTTGGCAGCCGGCCTGATGTATCAGCAATGTCCACTTCTTGACAAGAATGGCAGTTTCCATCAGCTCCTGTTGCATAAACTCGGACCAGTTGGCAAGGGGCGGCTCAGCCTCCTGCCGCAGGGTCAGCCTGACTAGCGGCGACCAACTGGCGTTGGCTGTGCCCTGCAGCGTCTCCGCGTTTGCCTGCTGTCCTCCGGCTTGTCTCCAGC